GGCCGGGATCGCCGCTGCCAGCAGTCGGCAGCAGCACCCTCCTCACCGCCCATGTAGATCGAGCTGAGGCTCTTGCGCGACGCGGGCCGGCTCAGCGTACCGCCCCAGCCCTCCTCGTCCTCGGCAGCGGCGGCACCGCCCGCGATACCCTGGCGGCTGCCCTTCTTGCGCATGCGAACGCTGCCAAGGTGGCTGCCGCCGCCGCCGCCACCCACGGCGCCATTGCCGGCAGACTGGGCGCCGAGGTCCAGGAGCGAGGGATCGTTTTCGTCGGTGGCGTTTTGGAGCATCGAGAGGAGTGCCTTGCCTCGCTTGGAACCGTACGTGCCCGACATCTTCTTACGCACCGAGGCCGGCTGCGATCGCACGGGGGCGAGCGTGGCGGCGGGCGGGTCGAAGATGTATTCGTCCGCGGCTGCCGCTGGAGCTTGAGCCGCACTGAAGAGGCCGTCGATGCGGGTCGTCTCCTGGCCCGAGGCCGAGGCCGCCGCCGACGTCGACACTGGACGCTTCTTGGCAGTGTCAAACTTGGGACTGGCAAGGAAGGGGTGCTCGTCGGTCTCGAGGCCCAGCGCGCCCGCCAGCTCGGCCGAGCTCTCGGTGCGCGGGTGGTGGCTCGACGCCGAATCGACGCTGTCGAGCAGCAGCAGCTCCTCGGTCGTGTAGAGCGACGCGCGGTAGGGGCGCTCCGGGCGAGCGATGGAGCCCGTGGTGCGGGACCGCGTCAGTCCGCCCGACGCGGCCGGCTCGTCTTCGTTGCCGCCGGCCTGGGCGGGCTCGACGTCGTCGGTGCTCGGCTCGCCCATGATGCTCTTGATGACGTCGGCATCGAGGAGGCTGAAGCGCGACTCGGTCTGCTGCATGCGCAGCAGGTCCTCCATCTCCATCTCGCTGTCTGACGTGGCGCTGCTGAGGGACGCCGAGGCCGAGGCGTCACTGACGCCCCGCTTCCGCGTGCCAGGCGGGTCGCGGTCCAGGCAGGGCACCAGGGCCACGTCCACGTCGGTGTCGAAGCCGCTCGAGGAGCGCATGGCAGCCTTGATGTCGCTGCGGCTGCTGAGGCTGCTGAGGCTCCCGAAGCGGTCCGGGTCGCGCAGGTCCTCGAGGTCGAGCTCGCTGGCCAGCTCGGCGGCCTCTTGGTCAGAGACGCACGCCAGCAGGTCGTCAAAGGTATCGCCCTTGCCGCGGCCGGCTGCGGACAATGTGCGAGAGCGGGAGAGCTTGACGTCGGCGGTCGGCTCGGCATCCGAGGCGGACTCGTAGCTCTCGGCCTGGTCCCGGACGTAGCCCTCGCCAAAGATGGGCGGAATCTGGGCGCGCGGAGAGCCGCCGGCGTCGTCGGAGCCGTTGGATCCGCCGCGGGTGGCGACGTGGCCCTTGCGGATCTGGTCGATGCCGAGCGCGGCGAGGTCCTGCGCCGACAGACCCATCTTGGCCTGGCTGCGCGGCGAGAGCTGGAAGGCCTGGATCATGCCCTGGACCTTTTTGCTGTCGCGCATGCGCTTGAGCGTGAGCTTGCTGACGCCCTTGGACGAGCGCACGACGCCGTCCTTGGTCACCGCTGCGTCTCCGAGGCCGTCGTCGTCGCCGTCGCCGTCCTCGGCCCTTTCGGGCGACTCGGGCTCGAACTCGTGGTCGTGCTTGCGGGGCCACTTTACGCTGCCAGACTCGTTGCCCCAGATGCGGCCGCGGAGGGCGTCTCGGCGCAGCTTGCGGACGGCCTCGATCATGAGCCTGCGCCACTTGAGGTTGAGGCCCTGGAGCTCGAGGTCCTTTTCGCTCAGGCGGAGAAAGGCGCGGCCGCCCATGCGCGAGGAGCGGACGTAGGCGGTGACGTCCTCGACGACGGGCCGCGGGACGAGGCCCAGGACGTGGGTGAGGTAGAGGGCGACCTGGGACGGGGTCCAGCCCCTTGGGTTGGCGGGCAGCTTGCTGACGGCCTCTGCGATCCTCGACGCCTCGTCGATGGCCGGTGCAGCTGTGGCAGCCGCCGTGGCCGTGGCCGTTGCCGTGGCCGTCAGCTGCGGCAGCGACATCGACGCAGGCATGCCGTGCATCGTCTTGCGTCGCGAGAGGTCGCGGCGCGGCGCGGCGGCTGCCGACGGCGAGGTGGGTGCGGCGGCGGCGTGCTTGAGGTCGGTGAGCGAAGGGCGGTTG